CCAAAACAGTGCCTCCATATTTCATGGAAGGGGATTGCTGCGCCCAACAATCCTACTCTTGGGGTTATGTAAAAGCCGTCTAAGTGGCCAGTAAATGCCTAAGCAAGTGGATAGTCAGGTTAAACCAACTCCTCATCAACCAGAACCCACGCAGATAAAGCTGCAGAAAACGAGCACACCCCTGCAGTGGTGGCGCCAGACTGCGGTGAAAACCTGCAATTTTCCGGAACACTTCCGGGCGACGCCATCATCAAACCGTGTGGGGTCGTGTGGCGCAGCGGCAGAGTGCTCGACTCGGAACCAAGAGGTCCCGGGCTCAAGTCCTGACATGTCACCGATCTTGTGCCCCTGGGAAAGGCACTTTACACTACTTAACTCAGGTGCAAATGAGTATTGCCTTGTCCTGTATTCGTCCTCTGCGTTGGTGGCGGCATAAAATAAGTTCACATAACTTGAGTGTGCTGTCACCATGTCTAGTCATGAAATGTTGGAATAAAAAAAAAACGAACTGATGAAACGACGTGGCGTCCGAATGCGTCATCAGGCGTAGGCGTAACTTAAAGTATTAAAGTGTACGTAACTAAGTTTTCAGTGGGTAGAAAGATATTACTTTTAAGTTCGTGGTGTTCTGTCTTTAGAGCCAGGTTCAGCCATATAAGGCTGCGATGGTATGTGTGTTGTTCTGTCTTTAGAGGATAGCAAAAGCGTAAAGCATGTTTGATTGTCTTTTGAAAATACATTCTTACCATTGTTAGCTTGATATGTACAACATAAAACATCCATTTCAAAGATTATAATAGATACATTATTATTTTGAATATTAGAATTATTTGTAATTGGAATTTTAACTCATGTAATTTATTACATGTAATATTGAAACTGAAACTAAACTGTTTTGTCGCCATGGATAAAAGAATCAACCCCCAAACAATAATTTATAAAGCCTTTTACAAAACTGAAATTCAAGAGTTGTGTAAAGTACACTATTTTGCAACCATGGATACAAAACATCAACCCTAATTGATCATTTTAGTTCGTAATGATGCTTTTTAATGTAAACCCAACAGGATGTGCGTAAAGTGCATCTGTTTGGGTTATGATTATAGTGATATAAGCCGTCCAAGGCCACACTGCTCTTCAATAGCCTCTTGTGCAGGCTTCCAAGCAGGCCGTACGTTTTACCTACTATGGCCTCTGGTTGTACGGCTGCCGGCAAAAGAACGTGTTAACAAAACGCAGGATTGAAGTTCTTTGATTACAACCATTTATTTTTTTACGAGCGGACGTTTCGATGACCGTCTGTCTTTTTTATCAGGGCAATTCGGACTGGTTTGCTGTGCACTGACGCTAAATGTTACTTGGTGCATAGTGCACTAAAGGTGTTACATGGTTCACCTTGCACTGTTACTTGGCTCACAGTTTCATTCAGCTAGTCCGAACGTAGTGTAATTGTGACATACATAGGCATTGTGAGAGACTGGGAGGCCTGAACAGGAAGCTATCTTTCTAGCTGCTGCCTTCCTGTTTTTGCGCGATGACTAACGGTGGGCTTTACCACAATTACTACAATAAGATGTCTAAATACTTAATTAGAGTAATTTGGCGCGCACTGGACCGAAACGTTAAGGCCTACAAATCACCAAGTCTCCCATATCTCTCCCCAACAGACCTTTCTTCTCGTTTGATTGAGACGATGGTGGCAGGGGGTTTTGTGAGTAGGGTTGATGGCTTGGTATGTTTTGGAGGTTTCTGGCCTTGAAAAAGGCACTTTACATCAATTCACTCACTTGGATCATGTGAAAATGAGTGCCTAGCTTCGGTTTCGGACATCTTAACCTATCAGATAGGACGTAAAGAATCTTTTATAGGTTTTTGGCCTTAAAAAAGGCACTTTACATCCATTATTTCACTTGAATGTTGTGAAAATGAGTGCCAAGCTTCGGTTACCAACATCTTACACTATCGGATAGGACGTAAATCTGGAGGTCCTGTTTTTGACGAGGGTCTCTAATACATGTACGTATACTTAGACGGGTCCATCCCGGCGTTATTGGTCCAAGCCTTGCACTCTGAATTGTAATAGTCACTTGTTATCTCAATCCCGCCACAAATTTAGAACATCTCAATAAAAATATGCTGCAGACTATTTAGCCAATAAGAACGTGTGCTGTTTTTGTAACATTGTCGGCTTGGCAGGCCAGCAATGAAATGAAATGGTACATCACTGTCGATAATTAAGATTTTACCGGTTTTTTTAGCACATTACGTGTAAGAAAATGACAGTTTATTCCTTACACATAACATCAATGTTAAGGTATTTATATATCATATATGTGTGTGTGTCATTACTTACAATGATGATAAGCATATCAGAGACAGTCATTGTTGATTTATCATAGTTGCCATATCAGTTAAACGACCTCTATCGTTAGGCACTAGTACTGCACTGTATTCGCAATTGCAGCCGTACTGTGATAGCATATCAATTGCTTCTTTTACCTATATATGTTTCTGTATGTAATACCTTGGAATACATGCAAAACTAGAAAGGTCAATATTTGCTTTGGAGCAAATACAGCGATGGGTTCACCACATTTTCTGTATCTGTATCTGTATAGCCGGTATATATAACCGCCTTTCGGCGTAACACACCAGCTTATTTTACGACATGGCAGGGAAAGAATGAGAAACACAAGGGAGAACAATGATTTACATTGATATAACTATAATATGAAGTAACATACAACTAAAACAACAGTTGGATAGCTATTCCCTACTTTATTGGTTAGGATTTTTAATTGCATAATGCAAACTGTTGATTTTCAAAATAAAAAAAACGTCCATGCCCCGCATTCCAATGCTGGAGCAGGAAAGCTTAAAATACCTACCAAAACACTTGAATACAGACATACTGTCAGTATGGAAATGCTCTGTGCAGGTGTTAATCAAGTTAAATCCCAACAGTCAATCAGCAAGAAATGCTCTGTGCAGGTGGAAATGCTCTGTGCTGGTGTTGATCAAGTTAAATCCCAACAGCCAATCAGCAAGAAGAATAGATGAAAGCTGCATGCCTATTGGTTGATGCCCTGCATTCCATTGTGATGACTCATGCCCAAACGTGGTAAACAAGGCACACTAACACAGTAATACATTTGCTATAACACAGCCAAAAAACTCAAATAAATCCATTCTAAAAGCCTGTATCACAATAATTTTAAAAACGCCTAGGGGTATTTGCCCACTGTACCTCCATACCAAATTTCAGGACCTTGGGCCCTAAAATGAAGAAGCTGAATCCATTTAAAAAATGGCAGGAGAAGGAGAAGGAGAAGAAGAAACATCGTGGTGTGGTGAACCCATAAATATGGCTGTAGTCTATCAAACGGTGACGGTGAAATTGGCGTACAACCCTTTAATTCCTTATTTACTGTTTCTACAATTAATACGGTGGATTTCAAGAAACACTTTACTAATGATTACAAAAATAATACCATGTGTACATACTTTAACTTATCTAGTAGATAAACCAAATGAGGAGTCAGTAAAGTCAGTACTAATAGCAGAGTTTTCAATGAATCCCTTTAATCTTTCCGTGATTTTCTTTGATCCTTCACAAGTCTTAGAGGTTGTCTCAGTTTCATTGCTTTTGTTCGTCAACTGCAACACCGTGAACTGTCTAGACTCACAGGACTGTGCGAGCCGGCTCTTGTTGAAGTTACCACAGATAAAATATATACATACTCAGTACGAGATGTCAGAATCCTGTTCCTACATTGAGAATAGTTTGTAAGTTCCGTTTACACATTTTCCATATGTTTAAAAGCTTAATTGTTATCACCATAGTAACAGTTGTAATTGGCATATTTTCAACTTCCTGGCGATTCCAACGTATTATGAAGTTGTTAAACTGGTGCAGAATCTAAGTTTCCGAGGCAAAGTGAGATTACTATTTGGTCCACAACGGCTCTTTTCTCATATTTGTACTTGAATTTTCCCCCTTTTGTAACATTAACATCTATTTGAACTAGAAGGGAGGTTACTCTAAGGATAGATTCCAGGCCAATCATTTTGACCAGAGCAATACTAATTTCCAAATTAAATAAATCTTGCCTATATTTGTAGTATTATACGCCTATTTCCTCAAAGTAAATAATGAAAATGCTTTTGTTTTTTATGCAAGGATGCTACATTATACTGTTAATTTTTTTTTGCGTTAAAACATCGAGAGTCTTTCAGGAATATCCTTACATGTGTTCCAAATTACTATTCTAATTTTCTCATTCACGATAACCTAAGATATGTAATACTGATAACCTTGTTGACTTGAATTGATATGGTAATTATCCATAAATAATTTTATATTCTAATATTTTCACGGATTCAATATCCAAGGATTGAGGCTATATTAAGATATCCGATTAACATGACACCTCAAAGACAGTGTACATGTACGTAGATATTGCTTTGAACAACATCGTGACAATTGATGCTCCCTTTCGTATAGACGGCACTCTCTAATTGACCGTTGACCCTTGATTCTGCAATTTGAATATGGTGCAGGGTACAAGAGTAAGATTTAACAGACAACCGATACAATGTGAATAAGCCGTTATTTTTCTATATAATTTGTTGAACATGACAATTTGTCAAATAGTTGGTCGTTTAGCGGTTGCAGCCCCTAATGGAAGGAAGTGAGAAGAACAAGCCATTTAGCTAACTCCTGATGACACTACAGGGTAATGAACGTTAAAAAGAAATATAGTCTTGGGTACGTATATAGGATATGTCATCATTGGATAGCTTGCATGCTCATAGTTAATAATTCTAATCCAAAGTGCAGTAAATCTGAGCCAAACAGTTGTTCTTTATTCTTCTCTTAGACTTGTAGTGTCTTTTGAAGGACATCTCAAATGTGTCAAACTAATACAAAGCTAACAGTGCTGTTTCCCTCAAGTTGCGTCCAGATCTTAAAACAAATGTCTCCCTTTTTTGGGTTTGTATTGTCTTTCAAATGTAGGACATTGCTACAGATCCAATCCTTATTACCTAACATGTGAAGTATAGCCTATGACTCCTACTAGTCGTTTGTAGGTAATGGTTGGTACTTTTCCTCATTAAATAGTACAACAGATCTGATATGTTATTGCCACAATATCTGGCCACAGCGCTCCTTGATAGCAGATGGCCAATGTCTGCCTGTGAATCAGCATTGCCAAAGAGCTTGATCTTGGCCAGGAGAAAAGTATATATTTGGTCATGAATTAATTGTTCTCTGCCTTCGGCTACATCCCCTTCTAAACTAGATTCCTGACCACAGTGTATAGTCTAGTACATGGTAGAGTCCTGCCTACCTTACTCCGAAAATATATTACTACAGCCTTTGTTGGAACAAAGATACGAATCTGGTGCAGTCTTTTTAGATACAAACAGAAGCTACCTAAACGCTTCACTACATATTCATTTGAACTTCAGCATTGAATCCTGTGGTCTTACGTGTTTTCGTTATACTTTCCCGATAATTTTCCCATTACGTCTGAATGTTTAAGTCTTCTTTTCAGGTACGTTTTAATCCTTCCTACACCTCTTTTAACAGACTACCGCCAGTTGGCGCCGGTTGCACCCTTTTCTGCAGCAGTAGTCGGCGATCCCCTTGTAAGCGTACCGCCCACGACCTCGCGGCCTCCCCCTTCCCCTAGCCCTGCCCCTCCCCCTTCCTCTTCTCTTCTCCTCTTCTCTCGTCTCGTCGGCGGACAATCTCGCGAGATCTATGACGGAGGCCACGTTCCAGAAGTCGAATGGCGCCAAAGTCGGGAGCTTGGTGGTGGAGTATGTGGGCAAACTGGACAGCGTCGAGCGGACCGAGACATCGTCGTGAAGCAGTGAAGATCGGGACGTCCTGATGGAGGGTGGCTGGTAACCGGGTGGTCTGGACTCTGCAAAACAAGAAGTTATTGTCAGTTTTAATTTCCTTTTTTTTTCGGTGGTGGCGTGAAGATTTGCATCTCGCTAGAGTGCGTCACCACTGTGTCTTTGTACTGTGTTATGTTATGTTGCCTAATAAAAAAACAAGAAGTTAGTAATACGGAGACGTTGATATTAAAAGGTTAGACATCCAGATAAACAATACACCAGGAAATTCAAACTCTACTACTAGACAAATTACGGAGAATAATTTCCGGAAATTATTTTATCCAGTAGTAGAGTTTGAATTTCCTTTGACAAGAAGTCGGAAATTTCAGACTAATTTTCAATCAGATCTTTTGTTGGCTGCAAAAAGCATTATAAAATTAGTAGTACAGCGTAGTAATATAGAACAAATACATGTACATGACTGTGTGCTTGTGATGCTGCTGCTATTTGGTAGGTGGAGCTGTCGCAGTAGCGATGCAACATCATTTCTCGCATGCAATTCATCTGTAAATCGCCAGATGTCACATTGAGCACGCACTGTACTAGCTGCTGTACCTAAAACGTTGAAAATCAGAATACCATTCGCACATCTTATAATATGTGTACGTTAAAGTCACATGAATATCAGAACAACATGTTTTTCCCTTATGGCAGATGCATTTCTGTAAGACTTCGACCAACGCCAGTTTGGGCCTCAATCACTGACATTAGTATTTACAAAATCTGTGGATAACGTTCTTAACCTTCCAGGGCTACCCTCCACCTAGTGCTGCAGCTTTTCTAACCCTCTTTAATGCCGTGTAGGACCTAGCCTGAGCCTTGTCAGCTTTCGTCAGCTCCCCGCCTACTAGAACAAGGCCTTAAGGCGGCGGTGGTATTGAGTTTCACATTTTCCCGCCATTAACGTACAGCGTCGGTATCAAGTTTCACATTTTCCCGCCAGTAACGTACAGCGTCGGTATCGAGTTTCACATTTTCCCGCCAGTAACGTACAGCGTCGGTATCGAGTTTCACATTTTCCCGCCAGTAACGTACAGCGTCGGTATATCGAGTTTCACATTTTCCCGCCAGAACACCAGGCGGGGAGCGGATCTTGGGGAGCGGACGACAGCTAACTAGGCTGACACTCAGGCTAGATCGGACCTGCGTGCATTGATGCAGGGCGGAAAGGTAGCGCAGAGTACACGCAGATTTCATTTTCTTAAGCCTCGGGAAGTAGCCAGATCGTCACGGGGCGCTGTCCAGACGGCGTGCCTGGAGATCCGCGGTGTTACGACGCACGATGTGATGCCGTTACACCATCACAAACTCATCACAGTTACAAGTCTGGCAGGTCATAACGAACTCGTATTCTTTGTCAGATCAAAACACAAGGGAACAGACTGAGATTGATTCAAAATATGTTCTACTCTGCCAGAAGATGCAATTTACATGAGTAAGAAATGGCGTTGATATATACTTTTGTTTTCGCTATGAATACTGACCTGATAGAGAAGCCAACTACCACTTCCTGATTTGCTTTTGTTTTCCTTGTTTTCTTATGCTATGATATTTTCTTTGTGTTAATATTGGTTTCTTATGTTGTTCTTACTCATAACAACTTATGATTTGACTAATGGAAATTTTTTTTCTGTTCAATATGATATGTTCTTGATTGTCTTACTTTATTGTTTAGATATTTAATTCGCCGTCTTAACTTTATATTATCTTGTACCTATTTTGAGTTAATTTGTTTGCTTGTCCCTTAATACATTGCAAGTTAAATGTAAATGTAATAAATGTATGTAAATAAGAGATCGTAAAATTAATAGGATTTGGGAGAGTCCACTAGACAAACCTTCAGGTTTCTTGGGCTCTCCAGCATATATTTGCTTGTATATAATTTCATTTTATACTGTTACTTTTTTATGTGCAAACTGACAATAAACAATAAACAATAATACCCCCTAGGATTTTTTTCTTATTTCAAAAATAATGTCATTAGGTTGGTAGGGCATAGGACACTGAAAGGGGCCAAGGTAAAAGCTTGACACATACTATGAAATAAAATAGTGATCATCGTACATCATTGATGAACATTCAATTTACATAACTACAGATGCACATTCATGATGAAAGATGCCATGTAATAAAATTGGTATAGTCTAGTGTCGTTAATCATTATAGTGCCTAACGTTGTTAGCTTTCACTATTCTGAGTGTTATGTCTTTGGCCCTGTATGTAATTAGTACTCCCGAATGTACAGCTCTGCTAATGAATGTTTTAGTACACTTGAACGCTTAACCCCATGGTGAATGAAACTAAAATTTAAAATATGTTTCTCTTCTCTGAGGGGTTACAGGCTACACAGCGTACACAATATTCTGCAACAGACCATTAAACATCCATTTGGATATACTATATATGGAGGCACAAATGCAAAAAGCCCGTTGTGTGTTGAAAGAGTGAAGAAGTAGTAAGTCTTAGTAGATTTCTCCAAACTTTTTATAAAGATTTTCTGTCGTTCAAAGAATGTCACTATGAAAGGTATCATTAGAGTAACCGGTGTAGAGTACCATACAAATGGTACTCTACAATTTAAAGGAAAAGAACTGTTTATACCGTGTTTTGTGCAAGCAGTCTTGATCTATTGCACATTAAGCAAAGGATCATATGAGAAAACGTTGTCCATTCACTGATCATGGACACATCTTCACAATTGACACATCTACAGCAAATCTCCACATTCGTAAACAGAATCCTAGTCCCAAAATTCCAACGCCCAGTCAAAAGGCTTATTAATGGTAACATAACATTGCTGAGTCAAACACTTCTTTCAACACACAACTTGAATCGGTGTCGTGGATGTGATTCAATACGATAGCATATCATGGCGACGTTGAGATACGTTTTACTGATATGCCAAATAAATGTGGATATTCTAGGGTAAATTGACGTGAACTATATTTCAACTTCCGCTGATGGTATTTTCGTGCTGTGTTTACTACTAGTATGTCTTTTGAATGATATTGTTGGACGAGGGGTGTTTCAGTGATGATAGTTTAGAAGATATCTCGTGATTTTTATCCAAAGTATGGTAGTCTGCGTTCTAAGGACACAAAGCACGGTCATGACAAAGGATATATTCACAATGTTATAGAATGTAGCTTTCTGTGTTTCCACATGTATTGTAATCTTTTAATTGTTGTAATCTTTTAATATTAACACAACCAAAAAATACAATGTCAATTAATACTTTATGTAAAGTTTCTCGCTGACGAAACGCACTCCACTGATTTGACCTGGAGAAGACTACTGTAATTCCTAATTTCATCAATGTACTGTTACTCGTATGTTCGCACTGTTTTCCCTGTCACTTCTGTACCGTGAACTTATCATTGCAACTAACAAATAATTCCTGGACTTTCGTTTTACTGCACCTGTTGCCACCGTGAATATATAGTTCCGTGAACATGTCATTTTTTCTCAGATCGTGAATTTTTGCTACCGTGAATACAAAGTTACTCCAAACAAAATTGATCTTTAGGACGTTGTTCTTTCCCCGGTTGCATGAATGCACCGGCGATATCACACTATATATCACAGTAAATGCACCGTGAATACAGCAAGCCGGACCGTACAGTAATTCATAGGTACTAATACACATTTCCTGTGGACTTTTCTTTACTCACAGTTACGAGGCGACGTTATAAGGGTCATATATAACAGACATTACTGTGGATCACGGTCTTCCGGTGGGCCTTAGGAGTGCGATCCATCTTCAGGGTTGTGTATGTACTTACAGACGTCCGTGTCGTTAGAATGTTCGCATAAGGCCACACCAATTTAATTTGTTGTTTCTCGGATTTTGTCAGAAAAAATATAAATATGAAGCGACAGGGCGAAAAAAACAGGCACCCCATGATGGCCGGAAATCTTACAATATGAGCCGTGAAATGAACATACCAGGCTGGTTTATAATTCAAAGAAATAGATTTTGAACTTTTAATGAAACAAAATTGCATTGTTACATTTAAAAACTTTAACAACTAGGAAGGAAAGGACTTTCTTCAACCATTGGGGCCAAAATATTATATGGACAGGGCGAATCGAGAAGCACCAAATTAAATTGGTGTGTTCTGATTTTGGAAAAAAAAAGAAATTTTGTTGCCTTCTGACAGTGGTCAACATGTAATGTTCCCACCGTATCAAAACCATTTGTACTTAATTGAGTCAAAATTTTAAATTGTAGGAACCTTGTGTTTTTCGGCCCCGCCTTGTTTTTTCGACCGCTCGCATTAGATTTGGAGTCTGCGGAAGATGTCATCATAAAATTTACTTGCTGTGGCCTTACAAAGGTCCGTGTCGTTATAATGTCCGCATTAGGCCGGGCATGAAAAACACCGAGCGTGTCGCGAAGTGTAAAACTTCCAGCCCCCGATCCTGATTTATTCATACTGAACTAAGCTGAAAAGGCGAAGGTCAAATGCACTGCAGATGGGATCATTTCTGGACGGCTGGATCTTCACGGACATATGGCCAGAGATAACATCCCGGAGGCCTGAATATAAATGCTTATAAATACAAATAAAAGATGAGTATTACTTGGAAAACTTCAGTATCTGTTGCCGCTTGATTTAGTGACGGTATCAGTGAGTAAGAGGTACCAAAAAACCACATTGGGGGCAGATCTAAATCTAGTTTATTGAAAAGTGACATTCAGGCATCCATCGTCAACGTTTGGAATAAACTTGCTCCTTAGAATAACACTCTTTCTGTAACGCGACTTTCAAAAGCTTTTTATCACATATTTGTACCCCTTACGTGGTACATCGTATCCACAATAAATCTCCAAACAAGTCGAATGTGTTTACCACCTTTGCAGCTTTTATCACACACCAAGGATCAGTCGGCCCAATCCACACTCTAGATATTCTTTGTAACTCCCACGTTTACCTCAAGATCGGTTCTGATGGCATTCAATAAATATTCACAATGTCACATGTTGTAATCTGTAATCCTAGCGCAAACGTACTGCCAAAAA